CGAGTCCGAACGCGAGACCGGTCTGATAAGCTGCCACATAATTATGTGCAGGTCGGGTCAGTGCCGGTCGGGCTCGGCAAAATAGTCCCGTAAGGCCACAGTCGCCAATGTAAGGAATGAATAACGGGTTCAAGTATGAGGCTCGACGATGCCAGACCACCGCACGATTCAACGGATGAATCGGACAGGTAACGCGTCAAGTAAAAAATGCTGAGCCCAATCTCGAGGCTCGGCCAAATAAATAAAAAGGACCGAGCCCAATCATGGGGCCTGGCCGTCCAAATGGTAAGTGCTCGACTCGGCACTCAAGCCATACTTGGATAATTAAAAAGTACAAACACAAAAGCATAAAAAACACCATTCATCAAACAACTTAAAAATATTCGCGTTACAAAACGTATGGTCGGCACCAGTCAAGTTTTTCAAAAATGACCGCAGGCGGTCGCAAAAGATGGCTCGCAGGCCATAAAAGGGAAACTAGCTGCCAGGAGACGGGTTGGAAGCGTCGCTTGCCTTGTCGGCGCCATGAGGGGCCCCCTCATCTTGACCGGCCCTGCTCTCGCCCTCTGCTGCACCTGAAGTTCCGGCTTCATGATCGTGCGCCCCCCGCAATATTCGAGAGGGGTCGGCCTCGTCGGCGAAGTCCCTGGTCGGCAGCAAGAAGGGCGTGTAGTCGGAGAGGACTTCGCCCGGCTTCAGACGCATCTCGTCGGGAGGCGCTGCGCTGAAGTTGGCAAAGCCGACGATCTCGTTATCATCCCAGCCTCTCTGCCGACGAACCAGCGCGGCCTCTTCCTCATCCACCTCGCACACCAGTCCCTTGAACTCGGCATCTAACCCATGCTTGGAGATTTTCGCTCGCATTATCTCGTGAAAGTCCTCCAAGGTGAGCAGACCGTAGTCAAGTCGTTGGAAGAGCCAGAAGAGGTTATAGCCGACCCTGGAGTCCATGTCGGCCATTATATCCTTGCTGAACAGCTCCTGGAGATTCGAGTACGTAGGCAGACGAAGCGGGATGCGTGGGTGGCCGTCCTCCGAAGTCTCCTCAGCGGTCTGCGCTTCGAGCTGGGCAGTATGCGCCTCGAGCTGTTTCTGGAGGCGGACGACGTGAGCCTGGAGCTTACCGAGCTCGGCCACATGACGGTCCATCTCCTCGCTCAGCGCCTTGGCATGCTGCTCCCCCAGCTCAAACTCCCTAGCAGTCCAGGTCGCCTTCTCCCTCCTCAGCTCCTCGGCCATCCTAGCCGCAGCCCGAGAGGCCTCAAGCTCCTTCTCGGCAGCCTTGCTTGCCTCGGCCTCCGCCAGCACGAGACGGTTCTCCAGCTCCGAGGTACGCTTCGCCTTGGCGTTCAGGGAAGCAATCTTTCCACGACATAGCTCATGGTCGGCTTCCAACTTCCGGTGGTCGGCTAGAGTTTTCTGCGACCGATCGGCAGTGAGCACGAGCTCAACCAGTGCCCGAGAAACGGTCCCCGTTGCATGCTGGATAAGCGACGGGGTGGAGAGCTGAGAAACGCCGGCTTGGGCGGTTGGTGTCCAAGCGACAAGGGGGAGCCGAGCTGCCTGCACCACCTCCTCGGGCACCCCGAACTCGTTGGGATAGAGACCCCATCAGTGGCCCGGAGGTCGAGGAACCAATCGTCCGGGAAGCCGGAGAGGGCCTTGGCCACACGGGCCCTCCGCTCAGCATCAATAGGGACGAAGAAGTTCGCCTTATCCCGGTGGACATGGGCCCTCTTCTCCTTGGCAGGGCCCGAACTCTCCGCCTCGGCGCCCTTCTTCTTCTTGGCAGCGGCCTGATCCTCGGTGCTGCTGCCAAGGGCATCGTCGCCGGTTGGGCCCGGCTCCTCACTAGCCCGGCGCCTCGTCAGGCGCGGCTCCGCTACAGGCACGCGCGGACCTTGGCGGACGGCAGGGTCGGCTTCGGGTGCCGCCGAGACGGTCACATCGGAAGCTTTGAGCGCCAACCTTTTCTTCGCCAAATTCAGTCGCCCAGACATCGCCGCTTTTGTTATGTCTTTTAGCAGGTTTGGGTGTTTGCGACGATATCTGTTCGCGGCCTTCGCCGACGCGAATCCCTTAAGTCTGAGAAGGGGTTAGTTGACTGTAGGAGAACGGCCGTTACAAGCAAAAAGGGATAATTTATCAACAGCGGGAAAGGAATAAGAAACGTGGTGGTACCTGGTTGGAAGGATGTGTCGATAATCTCCGGGCTGAGATTGTGGTCGAGGAGGGTCTCTTCCTTAGTAAGTGCCAAGTAATGACGCTCTTCCAAATTTCGCTCCAACAGTGTATTAAGCCGAGTGGCCAAGGAGGGACTGAGTGCCGAGCTAGGATTACGGACTGAAAACGCAAATCACGACCTGTTAGCACGGAGAGAGGAAAATCAGTTGGTAACAGACATAGTGGCAAAAGACTTACGAGCATAAGAAATGAAATGAGTAGGCGGGTGCCAAGTAGCTTTGGGGGTCATCCACTCGCCACCGACCCAGAACCACTTCAGCATGTAGCCGTGTAAGGTCTCGGGCAGTTTGGCCACCAACGTTTTGTCGATACCAGGGAGTACCGAGCTGTAATAGTTGCCGGTATCGCCCGAGCGTTTGAAAGCGAACAAGGCCTTCACCTCGTCGTCAGTGGGGTCGGCCCAGCCCTCGCGGAGGAACATGACGATCAGGCTCACGAGCCGGGCGAACACCGTCGGCACGTATTGGCTGATGTCGATCTCGAGCCCGCTCAGAATGTCGTTGAGCGCGTCGGGCAGGGGAAACCGAAGGCCTAAATGAATACTATGACGGTAAACCCCTATGTAGCCCGGCGGCGGACAGTGGATCCGCTCCACGGGATAAGGCGCAAATATCCGGACTCCAGGGCCGAAGTTATACTACCCCCTTAGTTGGGCCAGGTCGGCATCGTCCAAGACCGACGCCGTGTTCCAGGCCGTTGCCTGGCTCGGCGTCGCCCAAACTCGCTCGGGCCGACGCCAGAACCCGGGAGGAGGTACCGTCGCGGCCTCAAGAGCGGCATCGGTAGCCGCGTCTCCCAATCCCATGGGAACGCGTTCCCGGCCTCCGATGTCACCCCGGAGTGTCTCGTCCACTAGATCTTGATCGACGTCAGAGTCCGAGTCCAGAAAGTCGATGTCAACAGAGTCCACATCGGCGGCGGTCGATCGATCCAGGTCGGCGCCCTCGTCCCCGCGCAATGAAGCCAGAGGAGAGCGAGACTCGTCGGCGCCGTCGCCACCAGAGGTGGTCGCGGCCGTCGAGCGGTCCTGTCGGACCACAGAGATCGGAATCGCCGCGAAAACAGTGCCCGCGGCCGGAGAAGGCGGGTGAGAAGCCAAGTTCTCGACCTTAACCGCCGCATCGCCGGAGGAACTACCGCCCTCACCCGGAAAGTCGACGTCGGCGGCGGATTTCGAGAGTGAAGACATCGAAAAGAAAGAAAAATTGGATGAGAAGACGATAAAATTTGCGAAAGGGATTGAGGAATTACCGAAGAAATTCGTCGAAGGAAGACTCGAGGAAACCGCAAAAGCTCTGAGAACTCAAGTTTTGAGAATACAAGCTTTGAGATCGCAAAAGTTCTGCTAATCTGCCGAGATCCCGCATATATAGATTAGGTCGCCCAACGAGGTGTGGACACGTGTGTAGACTTTTGAAATTCGAAATTCAAATAAAAGGCGAAGCGTCCTGGGAAAGCCAACCGACACGCCCGTTCAAACACTTGGTCAGGAATCCACCACGTGTCGTCCGCATATGGATGCAATCAAGACGTGTCCCTTCGGCTGCTGACGCTAACACGCACAAGTATGGCGGAAATGCCGACCTCAAGAGCGAGCCCGGCATGATCCATACGGACCCGACTCGGATTCAAGCATTTAACGATGACCTCGGGAGGGGCACGGTAGGCCTCACCCAAGCTCGGGGGCCTCTATGTTGATATCCAAATCGGGCTCCCATAAAGGTAACGATCCGAGAGACCGGAACCGGGCGAGGTCGGCCCGGCCAGTGGGGCCGTTTACCACGTCAATTAGCAGGTGCCGATCTGAGGATTAGTCGAAGTCAACTGGAGTGGCGGACAACGTCATACCCCAAGGTCGGCACTTGGGAGCTCCCGTTAGGGAGCCGACCGGCTCAGGATACGGGGTCTGAAAGATCGGAGGACGGGCAGACTGTAAAAAGCCCGGCTCGGGACCCTACCTTCTCGGCCCTCGTAGGGGTTAAAGATCCCGGAAACAATTAAATAAGGCCACTTGTCAATCAATGATTGCCGATGGGACGTCCCAGACTAGCCTGCAGGTCTAGGACGTCTAGCTCGGCCGAGGAGCATGTCCGCATAAATGCAGCACATACCAACATTAAATGCGTTGCAGGTAATGATTGGAAGATCCCTAAATCACTCCCAATCAGTCAGAGAAACGCCGGCCTGTCTTGCCGAGTTGCTGTACGACAAGACCCACAAACCGTACCCTAACAGTATCACATTTAAGAACCCTATAAATAGAAGTCTTGAGCATTTATTTTGGGTTGTTGAAATCTCAACTGTATTCACTCTCTCTACATTCTCTCTCTCTAAACTTGTAAGGAATTTGTGTAAGAATTCGTAAGTATATCGCAAGTGTCGACCTCGTACGAGAGGCCGACCTCGTGATCATCTAATAAAATCATAATTAAATCGTGTTCCTTTGTCTTTTCCTCATTATCTTTTCATCATTTCTCTTTTTTAACCGTTGACCGGAAACGCCCATCAACAATGGTGGATAACCCAAGGGAGTGATACATCGATACTGGTGCCACTCTCCTCACCATGTGTGTTCCGACAAGGAGATGTTTTCTTAATACACTCCTTCTAATGGTCGGAAACTTCACATAGAAACTCCTCCATAACAAAAAGATTAAGTTATATGTGATATTTAAGCTCTGCTTAATTTATGATAAAAGCTACATAATTATATCCGAGGGAGTAGATGACATCAAAACCCAAGGGGAAAAAACTGTCAGGATCTCTTACTCAACACATCAATTTCTGATAAAAGCTACATAATTATATCCGAGGGAGTAGATGACATCCAAACCATCCAGGTTCCAGAAAAAAATAAATAAATAAAAAGACAAATAAACACAATTATATCCAAGGGAGAAAAACTGTCAGGATCTCTTATTCAACACATCACACTCACATTCTTGTTAACATTGGATGGAAATACAAAGTACTGGATACATACAAAAGAGGTACTATACAGCTGATACAGCCTAATAGTTCTTACATATTGTTATCAGTTTATAGTCATTACCAAGTTCTGGAGTCTATCAATATATGTCTACATGAACTTTATATATATTTCACCTTCTATTTGCAAACGGATGCACATAAGTTAGCACTTGTTTTTTTTATAGAGTACATTGAGATCATGCTGCGATTTGTCCTTCTTTAAGCTGTAGAGTTATAGGTATATGCTCTGTGTCCCCAAAACCAATCTCTTTAGAATCTGTCTTGTGTGTTTGAGCATTCGAGTTTGTGTACCTTCCAACTGGGATGTCGTGATTATGCTTGCCCTCGTATGTAGTAATCACGTCTTTTGGGTCTGATGAAGCCCGCTCGACATGTTTCCGGACATTACAGCCTGCATGTGTACATCTGTAGTAACTCCTGTGCAAACGAGATCAGCATAGCCAGATTATGGCACATTATAACGAAACTATTCCATGTGTGGTGTAGTCTAAAGCATTAAAGACTTCAGTTATCTTTCAAAGTTGCAACTACCTCTTAGAGGTTTAAATCTGCCTAACAAATTGATTTCATTTAGAGAGTGGATGAAATTTGTAAAAGGATTAGCAAATGTAGTCGAGATATTTGCTTTCATGGGTGCTGTTTCTAGTTAGCCATATTATTCCAGGATAATGCGAACGCCTATCTCAAAGCAGTTTTCAGCCAGACATATTGTCTATTTGAAGAGATGACAAGTAAAGCTAATAGAATTGGGGCATGAAAAAACATTAAACATTTGTTTGAAAATAGCAGGAAACACACCCACTGACTCTCAAGTAACAATGGCATTCCAGACAATGTATTTTATATTTATCATGCTAACTCGAGGATTGGGGTATTTGCACAAAAGCATACAAGTTTCAAATTTGTAACCGAGTTTTCTTACTTTAAGTAAAAGTAATGTCGATTCAAGTGGCACAGGATTTTTGCAGTGTTTTTGTAACACACAGAAAAATTGTAAGATGAGGTCAAATATCAAGCAGAAGAAAAAAAAAAAGAAAAAAGCAGCACATTAGTTTACCAATGCCTGAGAAGTAGCATATTTATATCTCCAGATGATTCAGTTCAAGATTACTAATTAGATAAGGTCCTTTTATCTACTGGAAAAATATAAAGCAGATCGTGTATTGAAATATCATGATTCCCTTCCAAATCGATAGACAATGGTACCTTGGATGAGGATTCCCCTTAACCACTTTTTGTCCATACTTCCTCCATTTGTATCCATCATCCAATACATCAACTTCGCTTGTTGTTTGCAACACAATTTTTGATTCCGACACAGTTTGTTGTGATGAAGCAGCTGGCACAGATGTCACCATATCCAAGCTCCTGCATCTCAAAAGGAACTCTACTCACTTAAATGAAGTGATTATAGGACAAAACAAGACTGTGCAACAAAGATAGGCGGAATATCAAAAACTACCCTGAGATTTAGTGCAACTACCTAAAAAGGGGAAAAAATAAAATAAAAGCAGTTCTCTCTCAAGAGACATCTAAATATTTTGTTTCTAATACTAAAATTGCATCCTTAACAGTTGACACATGCAAGGTTCATAGATGTAGTTTAAAAGACAAATCCAATTTTTCTTACAATAAAAACCTCATAGTTCAAAAACACACCCAAAAAACTAAAAATATCTTACCTTCTTTTGGCAATTGGCATATCACCATCCCCCTTGTCAAAATTATCACTATCTTCCTGATGATGCTCGGGTATCGGTTTGGTTTCAACCTGCACTAGTGAAGTCATATTCGAGGCATCCAATGCAAAACCAACTTTCCCTTGTTTACTGGGTTGAGGCTGGCCGTGATTATGCTCTCCTTTATACGTAACCCCCAACACACAACCATTTGGACCTCGTTCGACCTTCTTCTTGACAGGACAATCGATATGCGTGCATTTATAGTAGCTGCGCGGGCACTCACTCGTCTTCACGTGCTTCTGACCATATTTTCGCCATTTATAGCCGTCGCCAGCTGGCTTTTCACAGGCGGGTTTTCTATCCGATTGAGTAAGATCAGATATTATTGCAGTCTCGGGTTCGGACGGTGGAGGATTTAGTTTCGGGTTGATAATAAAATCAGGCGACCGGTCTTTGGATGAGGGTTTTTGAGACTGTGTTTGCATTTGCTTGAGAGATTGGGATAGTGCAGCCTGGGCCGTGACGTGGGCCAGTGCTTGCTGGTGAGACATTCCGAATGGGCTCTGCACGAAGTTTAGGGAGGATTCAATTACTTGTTAGGAACTACTCAATTGTAATACAGTAGAGAAGTAGTTGAGAAACACAAAGAGAATTATGTAAGCTTACTCCCAGCATCATATATTACTGCACCACCTCAAAAACTTCATTCAGTTAGGATATATGTCATACTTCAATCTCATGAGGCTTACAACCAACTGAAATGTATTCTCAAGCTTATCTATACAAGGACGTAACCCGGAAAACATCCTATATTCTTTCTGTTGTTACGAACATATTTAAAGTAAAGGACAAAAAAAATTTGTAATTCTAATTTGACAAATGTTATTGAAATTAGACCTAGATACAAAAGTCATCATTAATAGATTTTCCCATCCCTAGATTCTACCTTTATTAATGACAAGAAGAACATGAATTCAACCATAAAATTAGGCAATAAGACTAAATACGTTCCATTTCTAGATAAATACAGCTAATCGAAGGCTCTCAACAGCAAATGCTTAGCAACAGCTAAGGACCTACAAATTACCAAACTATATCTTTCATTCTTATTACTTTAACCTTTGAGAAAAAGGATTCCATATTCCAGGTATTAGTAGGTCATATATACATATAAAGAAATGAGAAAGAAAAAGAAACTCTACATATACGAAGACTAATATTTATAGCTGAACAAAAAACAGTATTACAGTTAGAATCAAGTGAAACCAACTAATTCTCAAGCTACTATTTTTGGACAACAAGAACCTTTTCGAAAATTTGATCTTAGAAGGAATTAGTAAAACTCTGGTCTTCGTATTAAACATAAATGCTTCGTTCAATCTTGCGTGTAAAATTTCCATCGAATACACTTCAATTCCAAAAGCGAAACTCCGTGAATCTAAGCACAACCCTAATAAAAATCCGCACCTCAAAATATAAATATTACCTGAAGAGGTGAGAAATAGCCAGGTGAATTAAGCAATCCAGTGGGAGTCAGGGCAGGAGGTACCATGAACAAAGGGCTAAGGCTCTCCGGTTGTAGCTGCGGCTGAGCCGCGGCGAGTGGGGAAGCCATGGCTCCAGCTAATAGGCGGGAGAAAGAGAAAGCCTGGCCCTGCTCGGGAAATAAGCTGGAGACCAGCTGGGTCATCGGGCCCGGGCTGAACCCGGGACCAGACGCGTTGGCGAAAAGCAGGCCGCGCGGCGGGACCACGATCGTCGGTTTGGATTTGAGAGCCTCTCCAGCGGTGGTGGTTTCACCCATTTCGCCGATAAGGTGAAAAGGGAAAGAAGAAAACCTGATTTGAACGTCAAATCTCAAAAAAGTGGAATTTGAGTGTTTCTACTTTCTACTTTCTACTTTCGTCGTCTCAAGGAACTGCTCCACTTGTGAAAGTGAGCAATGCGAACGAGAGAAAGTCAACAGAAAACAAGTAGGGTGGGACCCGCACTATTTATTTTTTTTTTCTTTTCCACATTAGCCTCGAGTTCGACTTGAGTTTGAGGTCTTAACGAGTCGAATTCGGCTCGGCTTGTTAAGGCTCGAAAAGTCAATCTTTTTTCCCTTTTCTTTTTATTATCTGAGATAATTTTTATATAATTTTTATAATTCAATTCGTAAAAGCTCGAGATCTGCTCGTTAAGGCTCGAGCTCGAGGCGTTAACGAGTCGAGCTCGATTTATAAATCGTTTAAATGAGTCGAGCTCAACTCGGCTCGTTAAGAGCTCGAGCTCGAGCTCAAGCACCTTAAGATCGAGCGAGGCTCGGCTCGTTTACATCCCTAGCATTGCCTATGCTTGGATATAAGTTTTTTCTTATTTGTTTGGATTTTTTGGTTTTGAATAGTTAATTTTGAATTGGTATGGTAAGTTGTTTTTCGATTTTGACCTTATATTAAAATAATATTTAAAATAAAATAAGTAAAGTTGATTTGATATAAAAGTATGAGAGTAATAATGTGAAGTGATGGTTAGTTAAAATTATGTGACTGGATAGTGAATTAAAGTTGATGTAATGTGTAAAAAATGATTGAATTGCATTATTTAATTATATTGATAGTATTGAAGATAGTAGGGTTGAATTAAAGTTGAGTTAGATTTGAATTAAAAAAAAAAGTGATTGATTAAAAATGGTTGGATTATTTTGAAAACTATCCAAGCAATCTGTTTTTACAAAGAATTTTCATAAATTATTTATAGATGATTTAATTAGACATTAACTATTTTTTAATTATAAAAATAACATTTTTATATATATTTTCAATTTTTATTGAAAGTATAAGGAAAATGAAGTTTCTTTAATATAATTACTTTTTCAAGCAATTCTTTAAAAGTTTAAGAAAAAAGTAAGTTTTTACATAATTATTCTTACAAGATTACTCGAATCAAAATTGATGTGTCAATTGTCACGGACCGAGTCCGTCCTGATTGATCATTGAACGTCTTTCTGCTTCGAGCACTGATGACCTGCAATACGCCGGGAGGGGGTCCCGACGGAAAACCTCCGACGCTCAAGTCAGAACTCGCTCAAGGGAATAAACTAATAAAGTGTATATTTATTATTTAATGCGTAGATATGTGATAGATATTAACATAGAACTTGGTTTCATTTATATAAAGTGGATACCTTGATGCCCAAGAGAATCCTTGTTAGGAAAGAGGTCCAACCAGATCATCTTCCCTAACTTACCATGTCTCTTGTCCAGACAAGTTTCTTAGCAAGTTATATTTTCCTTCTTACTAGGCTTTTTTCCCCCTCTATTGAACAACGTCTAGGTCACTAGGGTTGTAACCGCGACCTCCTGACCTTCTTGTTGTATCATGATCGAGGTCGACCCACGACCTCCTAACTTGTGACGTCCACCTTGAGGTCTCTCTTCATACGCAAACACCTAGAGGTCGCGGATTCCAGATCATTTTTTCAGGCCGACCAGTACCGTGAGCTACGTTCGCGAACTCCTTGACTGAGTTATCTTCTTAACAAGCTGGAGCTTATTGAATGAGAATTCATGTTTGATTAAATAAAATTTTATGTTCTATTGCTTTGTATTTAAATAAATGGTTCATCACGGATGGACAGAAGATCATTTATGGGTTACTTGTGAAACATAAACCATTGATTTACAACTTTGATGGAAATTGAACAATCTATTGGAACGATTGTAATGTGAGCGGTACAATCGGTCTTGACTGATTAGTCACGCTATTACATATTGGTGTATTGAATGGATCCCAGAGTGGAGCAATTCGTATTATACTGGTCATTGTAATCGAACTAGATCTCAGCTACTTATTGCGTTCTCTTAACATGTAAGATATAAAAAAAACACATGTATGTAGTAATTACTTCTTTTATTTAGCAAAGTGAGGTTTATTGATATGGACCCATAACTGTCTGGGTTGGATAGTGATTCCTACATGACATGGTGTTCTGTTATAATAATTACGGTCACCATGTACTTCACATAGTTGAGGTTTGATGATGTCCCCGAAGTGAGTTGAGAATAATTATTATGTTAAACCCTACAGATGGATTAAATTCTGACATAATTATAATGTATTGAACGGTGCTAGCTTTGGTTCAAGAAGTCGATTAATTTAATATTAGTAATTAAATAAATTGATGGACATTTTATCTTAAACATGTAGAAGTGAATCGAGTATATATTAAAAAGTGGATATCAAAACGTAATTTGGAAATTCAATTGGGAGTATTCAATAATACTACTTTAGTGGAATGACTGTATTATTCTTATTAGGCTTGGTGGGCTTGGCCTATAGTCTAGTTCTAATAGGAGAACCCCAATTTAATGTATCCATAAAGTCTCTATTGAAGCTTATAAATACACCTCTTCTCTAGTCTTTCAAGACATATCGAAATATCTAGATTTTCCTTTTCACCAAGGGAGTTCTAGAGGTGTTAGGTAATTCAATAGAAGGCCATAGGGTAGTCGACCACTTGAGTCTACCTGAGCACCCGACCACCGCCAGCTGTCAATCACCACCGAGCACCGCCGCGCGAGACGACCCAAGTTCACCGGAGACGCCCCGTGACGACCTGCTCCATCGCACCAAACACTCGACGCGACCTGCTGCGACCCGCGATGCTGAGACCCGACGCGACCTGCTCCCTGCGACGCCGTGCGACCTGCAAAGTTTTGGCGCCAAAAAACGACACCTGCAGCGACCCGACGCCGAGCAGACCTGCAATGATCAAGTGACCTGAGATGCGCTTCCTGGCGCTGTACGCTATTAGGATGCCCCGTTCACACGCAGCGAGCCACGATATCCCATGAAGGCCCGTCCGGTTTCCCAAAAAACTTTTTGATTAGATGATCTCCTCCAAAAGAAATCTACAACGTCTCAGGGTCAAAAATTATTAAACCGTGAGTCTTCTACTTTTACCTATAGATTCGCTGCCCATAGGTACTTTTTGTAGTTAAATTTGTAACTTGCACATTAGCGGCGATACTTATAGACCCCAACAAATGGTATCAGAGCCTACTTTTAATACGTTTTGGTGCAAAGTTTAAATATTTATAGCTTACGTGAATTATGTGTGTTCAAGCGCAACCAGAAATTATATTATATATATATATATATATATATATATATATGTATGTGTGTGTGTGTGTGCGTGTGTGCATAACTCAGTTTTGTAGGAGTAGTATAATCCACTATTATGGCATATATGATCTTCTTGATATGATGTGATTAAAATTTATTGCATAGTTTTATTTTTTAAGGCCTCGGGCATGTCGAGGATGATGGATGAATGTTTGTAATAATTATTCGCCCGGTGGGACACTGGATAGATTAATTCGCTTTCTTAGACAAACATGCCATGGGTTTGGGATCAATATTATAATTTTTGATCATGAATTTATTTATTTTGATCATGATCGTGTGCGGATCAAACGAGAGATCATGACGACCCATGGAACTCAACGACCCGACCCGACCCTACCCGACCCATGAAACTCAAGAATGTGCATCGGGGCCACGCAAGCGTGCGTGGGCGCTTGACAGCTTGTTGCCGAGGTCGTCTAGGAGCGAGGCTAACAGCGACCCAACGCGCGAGTTTTTTGCGGGTCTACGACCGGCGGATGCGCTCGGCCACAGGGAAGCATGCAAACAGGTCATCATGATAGAGACCATGCGAGTAAGTTCCCGGTGCGCACCCGAGCATGGCGCGACCCTCCCGTCGCGCACATGCAGCAACGACTATGAACCCAACTTCGACGCCACGACTAGCCGTGCGTCACGCCCAGGAGTTGGCCCGTGTGCGCGAGCTGCCCAGGAATGCAAGACCTCGGTTCGCGTAAAAATGGGGCCGAGTCGTGATCGATCTGAGAAATATTTTTCGACGAGTTTAGGCGGCGACCGACTGATAGCGTTCGCTTCCAGGCGATGGCAATGTGGAGACTTGACGCAGAAGGCGGCAATCTTGGACAAGGATTCTGCTGCAGTGGGAGTTCTATGTGGATTAGGAAAAACAGTAGATTTAATCTGATTCTTTTCTTATCCACTAGGATTCTTTGATGATGGCCATAATAGTGGATTTAATTGTCATGTTTTTATTATGTACATATTTTCATGCTAATTAATATATCTATATATATATAATAAGAAATAACATTTTTAAAAAATGGCAGGTCAATTCTATGGTCAAAGATGCTTAGTATTAATTACTTTCTATTAATGGAAATTTTTTTAATTTTTAATTTAAAAACACGGACAACATCATTTGAAATTTGTTAAATTAATGACCACTTAATTTGTTAAATTAATTTTTATTTTCTATGTTTAAATCACAGAAATATTTTAGTCTTCTTATTTAAATTGCCAATGGTTTAATGGTAAAATGTTATGTAAATAGACTTAGATATATGTATCACATATCACTGCCTAAATTAATAATTTTATTATTTTTAAAACTAATAAATCTTAAATTGAATCTGATTTATTTGTTAAAAGATATTTTGTATTCATAGTGTCATGTTCTATTGTAATTCAATATTTCAAATTGTCGATATGAATATGAATTTGGATAGTTTAAAGAAACAAAATCCCTTATATGAAGAAATTTATTCCTTGAAAATACACATATTCTTTAAATTGCATAATCGATCAATTGATATTATTTTTTTTGAAAATTACTATGTTTATTTTTTTTATTAATATGCATAAAGTAAAACTAATTAACTTCAGGTCTTTCCTTTCCTTAAAGTCGAGCTCAACGCGAGAGGTCATAACAGATGCTCGACTAAAAGGAGAGGTACTTTTATTAATATTCATAAAGTAAAAATAATTAATTCATCTTTAAATATACAATTTATAATCTTAATGTACTATGTAGACATTTATTATATGAATCATAAAATATTTTTATTTCA